TGGAGTTCCCTGAGCTCTTCAAAAATCCGCTTATAACACCAAAATACGTAGTTGTCGTCCAAGCCACAGATGTGTCCTTAATTGGAAAATCCTTGTAGACAGCAGCACAGTTGCTCTGACACCAGGTACATAAGCAGGGATTTGAAAGGAAAGCCTGGGGGTTGTTACAGCGACGGTATCTCAGGTGTGCAGACCATCCGTTAGTTACACTTCTCTGAAGAACAAATTCTGCAGCCAGTGAAAGCTCTGCGTGATTCCATCAGAGCACACTTTCATTGTTCCTGCACCTTCTTCTCTTTTCTTACCCTTCCTAGGTCTTGATTTTCCCCCTTCAGAACACCTGCAGTTTCAAGTTCCCCATCTGCTTCCTTCAATAGTAGGGAAGCAGATTGCCCCTCTCCATCCATATTTCTTCCTTTCCTGTGACTTCTGACAAGTCTCCTATGTTGGCTGTTCGACTCCTTGCTCTGTTTACTAGAAGAGACTGTTGTGCTAGGACAGCGGATGGAGAAGTCGTGATAAAGGGAGAGACGGGTGGGAACTCTGCTTCTGAGAAATGCCCTACTACCAAATACAGTCTCTCTGCTTTCAACTCTGAAGGAGTCTTTTCAGAATGAGAAAAAGTTGGCAGAATAAATAGATCTCGCCGTGTCCTGATACAGAGATCATTTCAGAATTGCATATTTCAAACTATTGGGACATGTTTCATTTGAACTTTGGATAAAAGCCTTTATTTCTCCTAATCTAACAACACCTTTTTTCCTCTCTCTAGTCACTCGTCATAGGGTAGGTCTCAGAGCCCATCCACGAGAAGGAATTGAATAGTAGCTCTTTAGAGAAAAATGCATGCATTTCCTCACTCTCTCTCCTATTGGAACTGTAAAGGGCCTGCATTCCCCTGGAAGGGGAGAGGAGTTAGTTCACTGGCTAACTCCTTTCTCTGCCACTATAACTCAATTGCTACTTTTTATGGAAACCTGTCTAGGCTCTTAGCAGGCATGTTTACAGTACCCCTGGTTTCAATTAGCATATGTAGCTGAGATTACACTGTTCTTAATGGAAGTACATGCAGTCTTTTTCCATGTCTAATTGTTTACTTGAACAAGGTTTTTTTTCTCTTACTCTATAGCCATCCAAGTAATTTTTCAGTTGGTTTCATTTATCACATGTTCCTTTATGCTGAAGGGAAGTTTAATTTTTTTCTCAAAATTATCTCATGCTCTGGCTAAGTGCTTTAATCTTTTTCATTTTCAAATTTCCTTCACAAGACAGATTTATTATTATTATTATCATCATTGCAGTAATAATAATTGTTATTGTTAGTCTCAATTTTCAAATAAGGAAACTGAGACTTAGAAAGGTTAAGGAACATTCCCAAGTCACTCAGCCAAGATAATAGAATTATATCTGACCAGTATATCTCTTATAACCCCGAGAAGGATCATTTTTTAAAGTAAGATATTTATAGTGTCTGTTTTTGTTATGCTTCTAGAGTTTATTGAATACTTCATGTCTTTCTCTAAAAAATCAACTTGTCATTCCTGGTTCAGGTCGAGAAAGCCATTCACTATCACTTGTCTTAACTTCTCATGTGTCCACAATCAGTGCAAGAAACAGCAGCTCGTATTCATGTCATGAAAGTCTTTTGGGGATCCTATAATTAATAAGCAGAAATATAATGGTAAAATATTAAATTTTCTGCTAAGTGACATTTCTTGAATCCACCCATCAATAAATGAAAGTTGTAGACACTGACTAATCTGAAACTATATTCCATTTAGTGTGACAGTTCTTTAAATGCTTAGATTCCACTAACATAGCACCTTAATAATTATAGAGAGTACTTTCCTTTAAGGAGTTCCCAAGTGCTTTGCAAACATTTCTCCTCATTAATTATCACATGATTTTTCTGTGGCAAGGTAGGGAACAAGATACTTTGTCCTATTTAAAATGTAGGACTGCTGATTCATTGAGTTATTTGAACAAGGTGCTCTCATGACTTGTGCCAACAAGGCCTGGACTAGAGTCCTCAGCAGTTGTAGGTCAGTCATACATAAGGCCGCTAAGTCTGCAAAGAACATGACAAGTGTCTGGTTTAGTTTTTCACCTCTGGAGGGAAAATTAATCTAGAAAGATGAAAATTTTTATAAATCCCAGTGTCATACAAGTAATTAACTGCTGTGCCAATATTATGTACATATAAACAACACACACATATATGCCATAGAGGGAAAGAGGTCAACTGTGAAGAATCAATTTATAGAGAGTTGTTTAGAAGAGTGTGAAAATAAAAAAAAAATTATCAATGACTCTGTGTCCATGCAAGTATACTATAAGAAAGTTAAAAGTTTCAAGCAACAAGAGCATTTTAAAACAGACCACATTGTAACTTTCCAACAGCCAAGATATCATCTGGAACCTCAGATGGCACATTTACCACTCAAGGTTATAGGGAGATGTGTTTTAAGAGAGAGTTGGCTGGCCTAGCCAGCCTCTAGAAAGTGTACTGAAAGAAAGCACGGGATGGCAAAGACCAGCTTGAGTTCCCAGCATGTTTGCAGCTGACAGAAATGTTCCTACTAAAAATAACATGCTTGACTGTCTCCCTTAGGGAATTTCTTATTTCAAGGGGGAAAAAAAGTCTCTCTGTAAACACCATTCATAGACTGAGCTCTTCATTTAGAAATGGAGCTCTCCAGCCCACCCAGCCCCCCATTCCAGTGAAAAGTGAAATTCTTCTCTTCTACCCCTTTTATACTTTGGTGTCCCCTGTCCCATCAGTGATAATGAAGGGAACTGAAATCAGAAGGAAGCTGAGGGTAGAGGCGGATAGGCCAAAGCGGTTGTAAAACATCAAAAGAAGAGCAAGTTCAAATACTAATAGAATTGATTGATAAATGTGTAGAGTACTTCCTGAACTAAACAGTGTTTCTTACGATTGTACATTTCAAAAAAAATCACATGTTGTATTTGCAAAGTGAAAAAGCTTTCTGCAAGGTAAAGCTTCATCCACCAGATCATAGGCACTGAACCGGATCCTGAACACTACATTAGTTCACCCACACTGAGCCAGGCACAAGCACTCTGCACTTGTTTTTATTACTGTAATTACAGTGACACATCAAATCTCTTTTGTTGTATAATGGGGGAGAAAGGAGAGTCAAGGCACATACTTCAAATGGAAGTTAACTCGAATTTGAGAAGTGATTTCCTATCCAGATGTTGAATTATATATAAACTTTTTCTTTTGGGGTCACACTCGGTGATGCTCAGGGGTTATTCCAGACTCTGCACTCAGTAATTACTCCTAGCAGTACTTAGGGGACCTTATGGGATGCTGGGGATCTATCCCTGGTTGGCCACATGCAAGGCAAACGCCCTACACCCTGTACTATCACTCTGGGTCCCAGATGTTGAATTGCTACTCTAGAGAGCTTCAAAGGGTTGGACTTTAGGCACAGTTAGTGAGAAGGTACATAGAAGAACTGATACAACAATCGTAATGAGGTTGAAAAGAGGGAAGACCGGTAATGCAATTTGTATCTTATCACCTATCAGAAGCAGAGCTGAGGACAGATAGCACCAACAAAACCAAGTTTCACTCCAAAGAGTTGTTCCAGCCTGTGGATATTATAGAAAGATTAATAAATCATGTGGTCATGCGGTGACAATATTTTCATTTAACGTCCCTATTTTTAACAAGTCTGATCACTGGATTTTTAAGCTAGCTAGCAACAAACCAAAGCAGTAAACTGAGGATTAAGAAAAAGGACTTCATCCAAAAGACCGAGAGCAAATATAGAGAAAGATATTTTTTAAATTGATCCAAGAGTTCAAAAAAATATCGTATGGAATCATTTAATGGGCAGGGTAGGGGGGGAGTGGTAGAATAGTCTTCTAATAATAATACCATGCAAGTATTCCCACACCACTCTTGGTGGTCTGAAAAATGGTTGCACGTGTATTATTTTATGTCAGCACCAACACAATGAGATAAGTAGGACTGTATGCTTCCAAGTCACTTGGGCATTTGTCAGAATGGCAGGTCATACATTGGTGCCTGGATTTAAACAGGACCCCTTACCTCTGAAATTATTATATTGCCCACCATTAGCTCCCCTTCCATACCTGGTAAGTCCAACCTGAAGCCTAGCACAGTCAAGACAAAGTGGCCATTTACTGGGGCTAGAGCGATAGTACAGCAGGTAGGGTGTTTGCCTTGCTGACCCGGGTTCGATTCCCAGCATCCCATATGGTTCCCTGAGCAGTGCCAGGAGTGATTCCTGAGTGCAAAGCCAGGAGTAACCCCTGAGCACCACTGGGTGTGACCCAAAAAGAAAAAAAAAAAAGGACAGAGTAGCCATTTATGTCCTAAGTTACATTTTAGGAAGAATTCTATCTAAAATACATTCGATTGAAAGCATAGGTATTCTTCTATTGACCGATACTTTCCAATTGACCGCCAAGCAAGACCTGACTTTACTTACTGATTAGAATGCGAGCAGAAGGTCCCCAATGAGCCAAGCTATGTGTCTGTGTCTTTAGTTCCGAGTCTTAGAACCCCGTGTCTCCAAAGATCTTCCCCCTTGCATTTCTTATATATGTTTGATAATATTAATGGGAAATGCACACAGGTAAATCCCCTAATGAAGGCCTGAAAATGACCCTGTTAAAGTAGCTTTCCATTTTCTCCACAGAATGACCTTTGTTGAAGAATGTTAGTGGGGATTACCTTGTAGCTTCCCAAGAGAGCCATTTTCTGGCCTGGGGAAATGGAACCCTCTAAACTGTGCTGACATCACCTTAAAGCAAGTTTTCTCAGAACACAAGAGCCAGGAAGGACTGGATCTTTCCAATCAAGGGCGACCCATTAACCAAATCAGATTTCATTGTGTTTTAATTGTGTTTTGTTTTGTTCTCCTTGTCGTCTTGTTTTCCTGTTTCTCATTCTCCCTCCCTCGCTGTGTCCTGCCTGCTGTCTCTTCCCTCCACACCAACAGGTGAGAAGCCCCACCAGTGCAGCATCTGCTGGCGCTCCTTCTCCTTAAAGGATTACCTTATCAAGCACATGGTGACACACACAGGAGTGAGGGCCTACCAGTGCAGCATCTGCAACAAGCGCTTCACCCAGAAGAGCTCGCTCAACGTGCACATGCGCCTCCACCGGGGGGAGAAGTCCTATGAGTGCTACATCTGCAAAAAGAAGTTCTCCCACAAGACCCTCCTGGAGCGGCACGTGGCCCTGCACAGTGCCAGCAACGGCACCCCTCCTGCGGGCACACCCCCCGGGGCCCGCGCCGGCCCCCCTGGGGTGGTGGCCTGCACGGAGGGGACCACTTACGTCTGCTCCGTCTGTCCAGCCAAGTTTGACCAAATCGAGCAGTTCAACGACCACATGAGGATGCATGTGTCTGATGGATAAGTAGTCTCTTTCTCTCTTTTTTCTTATGAACAAAACAAAACAGCGACAAAAAAACAAACAAACAAAAAAAAAGCTATGGCACTAGAATTTAAGAAATGTTTTGGTTTCGTTTTTACTTTCTGTTTCTGTTTTCGTTTCGTTTCATTTTGTACTACATGAAGAACTGTTTTTTGCCTGCTGGTACATTACATTTCCGGAGGCTCGGGTGAATAATAGTTTTCCCAGCCTCCCTCGGATGGTGGCCTTAAGGCCTGGTAGTGCTTCAAGAGGTCCACTGGTTGGATCTCTAGCTACTGGCCTCTAAATACAACCCTTCTTTACAAAAAAACCTTTTAAAAAAAAAGTAAAAAAAAAAAAATTTTTTTTTTCACTTGTGAAGAGCACTACAAAAATATATCACAAAATCTAAAAGGCCTACTGTCTTTAAGTACACCGCTTGCAGTGTTTCAGTGGACATTTTCACAATTCTGGCCGCTTGGACTTCACAGTAACCAGTTAAAACTGTGGAATATCACTTCTGGTTGAATACCCAGAGAAAGGCCCTGCTGTTTTCCACCTACCAGGATGTCTGATTTCCCAAAAGGGCTGTGGGGGTGGGAAGGGACAGTGGGTTTGGGTGGTGTGGGAAAGGCGAATGACGGCTTCTCCCCCATGTTCTGTTCGGGCCCACCCACCTGGCCCACCTCCTCCAGACTCCCCCTGTCAGCAGAAGCCAGGAAGACTTGGACAAGCGTCAAGCAACAGTGGCTCTCGTATTTATTCAGTGTCTTCGCTGGGCCCCAGCCTCAGCACAATCAAGAGGGACTTTCATGAAAGGCAGGAATGCAGATAAAACAAAGATATCAGAGGTTTGCACCTACGTTTCTAGGTACAAGAGAAGGATTATTTCCAACCATCTTTGCAAAAAACAAAAACAAAAAAAAAAGTGTCAGGATATATTCTTGTGGAAGAGAAAAAGAAAGAGAAAGTGGAGGGTGGGGGGAGTAAAAAAAGTTCATGAGGCTTTTTTAATTCAAAATTTTATAGAGGGGCAAAAGTGACGTTTACCAGATAGAATGCTGATTTTTTTAATATATTTACAACAGTATTTGTGTAAAAAAAAAAACAAAAAAAATGAGATTGTTCAAAGTAATTTTTTTTTCCATTTTGGTTTCGCTTACACTGCCACCAATCCCTTCTCTTTTATTTTATTTCACACATATATATATATATTTTTTGGTAAGTCAGACTGTTAAGGTTAGCGTTACTGCTTCCAGATAGAAAGAATAAAAGGCAATTAAAGTTATATTTGAAAGAGAGGAAGGATATTTTCTTCATATTTTTTTTAATTTTTTCTTAATTTTTATTATTTTAAGTATTGCCTGGGTTGATGAGGGCCGCTGTGGCCAGCCCATCCCTGCTGTAATTTGAACTGCTGCTTTGTATTTTGATATGTAGTTCTTTGACTTTTAGCAAGCTTACGTTGTTCCACTGAATTTGCTGTCAACAATCCATCTAGAATTCTGTTCTTGTTCATGGGAGGGACTTTACTTTTCAGAAATAGATTTCTTGCTTCTCAAAAAGCTCGTTGAAATCTTATGATTCTAGCATTTCTGTTGACTTTACTCTCTTCATTTGTTTTTAAACAAAACACTAGTAGTGTAGAGGTCTTGACAAAAGGGTTCTTTCCTTTGGGAGTCCGCCAGAAAGAGGCATTCTCAGAACTCTACCAGATCTCCTTGCCCTTCTCAGCTATGGAGAGCAGCGTATTCAGAAGCCTGTTACAGATCAGGATGATTTGATGCCAAAATTACTTTCCTCCTTTCAAATATCACCTTTGGATTATGTGAACCATGTTAAAAGGACTGAACACGGTGTTCATTCTTTAGGTGACTTCTTAACCCTTGCTTGTTAGGAAAGGTTTCAAGAAAGAACAAAATCTTCCCAAATGCCAACATCCTCACTCAAAAGGCCACCAAGTCTTTTCATCATTCTAGATTCCTCTCTCCCTTCTTGGTTGGGATTTCTCTCCTCGGTCCTAAAGTAGGTATTATACTAAGTATTTTGTTCAGTAAAGACAGTCTCCAGAAGGGATTCAAATATAGGAAATTGTAAATCTCACAAAAACCCCCAAGGTTATTTCATTGCTGAGCATATCTTAACTTGAGGGAAAGCCTATCTTTAAACAAAGCAGAAACATCAAATTACAATTTTTAAGAAAAAGAGAGCATTTTTATTTAATATTACTTGATGTTTTAATTTCGTTTTCTATCAGCAACTTATTTACAAAAACAGTGTACCAAACGCGAAGAAATCTTCCAACGTAATTTAACTCTATGATGACTAAATTGATGTTGTAAATGTAATTTACATATTTGGTTGACCTGGATCTTTTCCACAGTTCTTGGTGGGTTTTAGTAGGGCTATACAGCTGGTGTAGATGTGAGTTTGATTTGATCCTGTGGTCCTTAACTTAGTAAGTATCTTGCTACGAGTTTTAAGGTTGATTTGAATGGATAACTAACCCGTCATGACTTCTGAGCTGAGTCCTTTCAAGAAGTGTGTGTCCAAAGTTGACATTAGTGGAAAATAGCTTCAGAAATGAGAAGTCCATTTTTCTCTTGCTAACTTTGTTTTTTAAAAATAGCAATGTTGTTAAAAATTCTTATTTCCACTTACCACCAATAGAGGGAGCAATGATTAATTAACCATGTCCTGGAATCTTTTTGGCATTTGAAAAGTCATTTAACCCATGAAATTAAAAAGGGGGGAATGGAGGGAATGAAATGACTTTTTTTTTAAATTATGACATAGCAGAAAAGTGACTTGAGATTACTTGGTTTATGTTACCAATAAAAGAAGGCCAAATGTCACTTCAGATGTTTAAAATTATTTAACAGCAGCTGATTAAAATAGTGACCTTATTCATAATTAGCAAAGTAGACAAAACAGAGTACTTATAGAAAAGTTGATCTGGGGTACAAGTATGGGCCACATTTAGCTGTTTGCTTTTCAGATCTAAGGGAGACCCATTTGCCTTAATGCTGATTTGCCACATAAAAATCTTAGCAATTGGATTAGAATCCATCTTTTGTTATAGAACATGGAGGGTGAAATTCCAATTGTGTTTAAAATCCTAATATTTATCCTTTTCCTTTAAAGAAAATCTCTCTCTCTCTCTCTCTCTCTCTCTCTCTCTCTCTCTCTCTCTCTCTCTCTCTCTCTCATACTTGCAGTGAGATAACCAGTATGACAACTTGGACTATCTAGGTTTGCTTAGCTGCAGACTTTTTCTTTTTGTATGACTTCATCTCAATTGTTTTACAGACTAAAGTAATTGACAGATAGTTCTCTGGAGAGAAGAAGATGCTAGATTGGAGTGGAAGATTTAGTCTGGGTGAAAATTAAGTTGCTGTGAGGTCATTGCTTTATGTTCTGGCCTCTGAAAGGGCTGCTTTCCCAATTGACCTACATTTTAGAAAATGAACCAATCAGTATCTATTTCCAAAAGACATAGGTACTTTCAGATTGTCAGTTCTTTTAAATTAATTCCAGACATCTTAGTAAATGGGGAGATGTTTTGTTTCAGTAATAGAAGATGAGCGTAGATCCTTTAGTTTTTCATTTACAATCCAACACTTCCCTTACATTTAGAACTTCATGCTATGAGTACCAAAAAAAAAAAAAAGGTTTTTTTTTTTTTATGATGACCAGGAGAAAAAGATAAATAAATGCTTCCTATTTAAGATCTCTTGAAATGAGTACAGTGAACAAGAACTGGTATAAAAAAGAACATTATTTTTCAAAGTATCTTATGGCTTAAAAACTGGATTAACTGAACTAAGAAAAAGGGCAAAAGTTAAAGTGGAATGTTTGTTTCAATGTGGAGACATTTATGTACAGCTTATGAAAATAAAATTTCCTAACGCTTAAAAAATTGATAGCATCTAAGTGTAGTGGGCAGTTTTATGCCTAATAAATGCCAATATTTGTACAAAAATACTCGAAGTATGTAAAATATAGCCCTAAGAAAAGAAGAAATTTGGACACTTGTATCTGATGCATATCAATTTGTGAAGATTGAGAAATAAGGCAAGATCCCGAAAATATCTGAAGGGAAAATCTCCATATCAAAGTTCTTTTACTATGTAGATTTAAGTTGTAAACTTTAGCTCTTAGTAACATTTTTATAGGCTTTTTCCTCCCCAAATTTCTAATGTTCTGAATCCTTTGTGCCATAAGTCAGTTTGATGAGTAGCTGACTCAGGCTCAGACTGCAGTGCTTATCTCGAAATATCTTGAGGGTGACCACAGCTCCTGATCTTAAGTATAAAAGAAAAACTTGAATTCTCTTTGCTTGAAAGTCAGAGGGGTTTTCTTTTGGAGCATCCCAGTAATCTAGAAGGATCAAGAAAACCCTTTCCAGCCCAGTAATGGAATTTGTGCACTCTGGTATGAGAAGATGAAGAGTCCTAATGCCTGGCTTGGCCTCCATCATGCAAATACGCCAATCAACAGTATATTCCCACTCCCAGTCAGTGTTTGCCTCAGCACAGAAATTGAAAATGAGAATCCTTAGAAAACTCCCTTCTAAACTCCTCAGATCCCTGAAAGAGACCATAAGGCAGCTTGGTATTGCTTCCTATTTGGGACTTCCACATGTTGTACCCCACATCTGCCCAGGCTTCAGGGAAAGACGCTGGGAGGTAGATCTGGCCAGAGTTTCCACCAGATGGGCCTGTTCTGAAGCCTCTTCCACTAGCCGATATGAGATTGAATTAATTGGGACTGGGAAGAGGAGCTAGAAGATTCTGCAGGTAATGTGTCTGTTAACCAAATCAGATCTGCCGGTGTCTGCTGCAAAAGAAAGAAAATCAAGACACAACCTGAGATACCCCTGGGATTTAGGAGAATGCAGGAGTTGCCCTTTCTGTGGGGATGTGGCTCTTTAACAGAAATCTTCTGAAAGAATTCTTTAATTTAGTAGAGTTGAAGTCCGGAGTAATGGAAGCCCCCGGGGAAGAGAACAAAAAGATTGCAAGATGCATTCAGTCCCCAACAATGTAAACCCAGAGAACATCCAATTGCACAACTAGGAAGTTTTGGCAAAAGGTATTTAGAGAAATCTCTGAGCTGTTCCACGGGCAGGGCCGGCAGACTCTTTTGAGTACTTTCTGGCTCTGAGAAACCTCTTTACTCACTAGAAAAGAACTTTATTTAAATGGCCAATTTTTGTCCCCCAGAAAAAGAAATTTCAAACAAGAAAAGAAAAATAGGACACTGAAGCCAGAACCATGTGACTTGGTGACAAACAAAAGGAAGGGAGCACTAGAATTTCAATAGCCTGCCTAATTCCTTAGAAATGGCACAGCGACCAAGGCCTCTCCATCTGTGGGGGTAGTGAAAAGAGTTCTTGAGCTGACCCAGCCGCAGGGGCTTTCTAAGGCTAGCCTGAACCTCCCCGTTGGGAATCGGCAGCCCCTTTATCTCCTCTGTTTTCCTTAAAGAAAGGGCTGTTCTCTTAGGTGCCCATGAAATAGATCACATGGGCAAACTTTCAAAAGCTGTGTTTCCCCCTGGTGCTCAAACTGCATATAGAGGCAAGGGGGGAGGGGGGCCGGGTTTTCTTACTATTCCTGTCAACATACAGAACATGGAAATTACTAACCCAAAGTGTCATTCTGACCATTAGGTATTAAGACGATCGCCCTGACTAAAACACCCCAAAGATTTCTCTAGGTGTCTGCATCTTCCTTTTTTTCCTGGAACACTTACTACAGTTGGTGGTGTGCAGTAACAGGTTCCCGAAAATGGCATGGAACACTAGGATTTGTTTCCATCCTTCCTAGGGTGAAGAGGGAAGCGAGGAATTCCGCAAGGCATGTCTTTGAGTTCAGAGCCCTGCGCTTCACTCTTGGAGTCAGAGTGCCCTAGAGAATGTCCATACCCTGACCCAGACCCCTGAATTCTAGCGAGTTCTTCAGGAGAAGCCTATTGTTCTAGAAACTAACTAAGATTAAAATCTAGTGTGACATGAGCTCGGTTAAATTTGGTTCACAGGACGCCATGTATAGGAGAGAATCCTGGCCTTAATCCAGAAAGCCCAGCAAAGAGACAGGAGAGAAAGAGAAAAGGGAAGGGTTTGAGGACATGAACTTTCCTGGTTGTTTAGTGGTTTGCATTATCACAAACAAATATGTGCCCTGGGGTTGGA